GGGCTGCAGGGGGCACGGTGGGCTGCAGGTGTATGAGGGGTACAGGGGCGCTGCAGGGGGCACCGGGGGCTGCAGGGGGCACGGGGTTGGGGGCACGGCCAGCAGATCCCTGTGGTCTGGGGGTGCCCTGGTTCCCGTGCCCAGTGCTGGACAGAACCAGCCTGGACTGGTGCGGGGCACGGGGGGCATTGGGGGGCACCAGCCGGGCACGTGGGGGGCAGGGATGGCCGGGGGGAGGGTGGCCCCGGAAGAAGCAGCCCGGAGCTGGCACAGGACACGGGAGGGCGGTGGGTGCCCGCAGGGTGGTCCGGGAATGGCGCTCCCGGTGCCCCGCGCCGGTGCCAGGGGTGCCCCGGTGCCCCCCTGCCCTGCAGTGTCCCCCGGTGGGCGGTGCTGGGGGTCCCGAGGGTCACGGGTGGGTGGCACCCTGGGAGACACCCCTGGGGACACCGGTGTGGCCCCCCCGCGACAGATCCTGTGCCCTGGTGGGCAGTGCCTGAGGGTCCCTGCCCCGCGCCGGTGCCAGGGGTGCCCCGGTGCCCCCCTGCCCTGCAGTGTCCCCCGGTGGGCGGTGCTGCGGGTCCCGGGGGTCGCGGGTGGGTGGCACCCTGGGGACACCGGTGTGGCCCCCCCGCGGCAGTTCCTGTGCCCTGGTGGGCAGTGCCTGAGGGTCCCGGTGCCCAGGTGGGGGCTCAGGGGGTCCTGGTGGGGGCTCAGGGGGTCCCGGTGCCCAGGTGCTGGCACAGCCCCAGCACAGCAGCCCCGTCCCACCGCTGGGCAATGCCAGAGGTCCCGGGGGTCCCTGGGGGTCCTGGGCACTCCCAAGCGCTCCCGTAGGTCCCGGGCTGTCCCAGGATGTCCCGGTGGTCCCGAGCGCTCCCGGGCGGTCTCGGTGGGTCCCGAGGGTTCCTGGGGGTCCAGGTGGTCTCGGTCTCTCCCGTGGGTCCCGGGCGTTCCCTGGGGGTCCTGGGCTGTCCCTGGGGTCCCGGGCGCTCCCGTGGGTCCCGGGCTGTCCCGGGGGTCCCGGGGGGTCCAGGTGGTCTCGGTCGCTCCCGTGGGTCCCGGGCTGTCCCTGTCGCTCCCGTGGGTCCCGGCTGTCCCGGGCGCTCCCGTGGGTCTCGGTCGCTCCCGTGGGTCCCGGGCTGTCCCTGGGGGTCCCAGGCCCTCCCGTGGGTCCCGGGCTGTCCCTGGGGGTCCCTGGGGGTCCAGGTAGTCTCGGTCGCTCCCGTGGGTCCCGGGCGGTCCCTGGGGGTCCCGGGCTATCCCGGCGGTGGCGGTGCCCCCCCAGCGCGGCGCTGTGCCCGCAGGTGGGCGGCGCGGTGCGGGAGATCACCGGTTACACCACCACGTACCGGCAGCGGCTGAGCGTGCGCGGGGGCGGCGCGGGGGGCGACTGCCTGCGGACCCGGCCCGGCTTCCACCACCGCCTCGCCGGCTTCCCCGCCTGCGTCGTCACCGACGGCGTCGTCAACTTCTTCCTGGCCCGCACCGACAAGGTGCGCCAGGTGGGCTTCGACCCCCGCCTGCGCCGCGTGGCGCACCTCGGTGAGGAACGGGGGGGGTCTGGGGGGTCCCGAGGGGTCTGGGGGGTCCTGAGGGGTCTGGGGGTGCCTGACGGGTCTGGAGGGTCCCGAGGGGTCTGGGGGGTCCTGAGGGGTCTGGGGAGGTTTGGGGGCTCAGTCTAAGGGGGTGCCCGAGGGGTCTGGGGGGTCCCGAAGGGTCTGGGGGTTCTGAGATAAAGGGGTGCTGGGGTCCCCCCCATAATTCAGGGGTCAGAGATAAAGGGGGACGATGCTGGGGTACCCCACAATGGGGTCAGAGATAAGGGGGGATGCCAGGGTCCCCCCCTAGTTCAGAGGGCCAGAGATAAGGGGGGAAACTGGGGTTCCCCAAATTCAGGGGGTCAGAGATAAAGGAGGTTCTGGGATTCCCCCAATTCAGGGGGCCAGAGATAAGGGGGGTGCTGGGTCCCCCCATAATGGGGTCAGAGATAAGGGCGCGCTGGGGATCCCCAATTCCGGGGGTCAGAGATAAAGGGGGATGATGCTGGGCTCCCCCACAATGGGGTTAGGGGGTCAGAGACAAGGGGGGACACTGGAATCCCCCCATGGGCTCACGGGATCAGAGCCAGCATGAGCCACCCCAGGGCATCTCTGAGCCTTTTTTGGGGTTCCCCCGTGCCCCCCCAGAGTTCTTCATCGACGGGCTGGGCGTGCTGCACGTGGGCTCGTGCGAGGACGTGGTCGTGGACCACGCGTCCAAGCTGGCGCTGCCGTGGCGGCGCTCGGAGGGCGAGCGCCAGTACAACCGGTACCGGTACCCGGCGGCCCGCGACGACAGCGTGCGCCTCAAGCAGCGCCTCTTCTTCTTCAAGAACCGCTTCAAGTGCATGGCCGGCGACTAGGCGACACCGGGAGTGGCCACCGGGCGTGGCCACCAGCCCCCGGCAGCGCTGCGGAGCCGCGGGGCTGCGCTGATGGCACCCCCGGGGGGCTGGCGCGGAGGTGGCACCGGGACGCTGGTGGCGGGACACGCCGTGGGCAGCGCTGGCACGGGCCGCCTCAAGGGTCACTGCTGCCAGCCACCCCTGCGGTGTCCCCAGAGCCACATCTGGGCCACCCCCGGGGCCGCCAACCCTCCTGGGGGTCGCCCCCAGGGCCGCCGTTCCTGGGGCACCCCTGGCGTGGCTGTCCCTGGTGGGTCACCCCACGGGCCACCACCGCCGGCTGTCCCCAGGGCCACGGCCACTGGCGTGACACAGTGCCACCCCCCCCAGGTGGCCACTCCAGGGCCACTGCCACTGGCGTGACACAGTGCCACCCCCCCCAGGTGGCCACTCCAGGGCCACTGCCACTATGGTCCCCCTCCCTTGGGCCACCCCGTGTGCCACCACCACTGGACACCTGTGGGACACCCCCAGAACCCCCCCCAGGGCCACCCCAGGGCCACTGCCATGGGCCACCACCCAGTGCCACCACCCAGGGCCAGCCGGGCCCGCGGGGTCCCCGGAGCCCCCCGCCCCCCCGCGGTGTTTTTAGCTCTTTTGTACTTTGGGGGGGGGGTGGTGGCGGGGTCCCCCCGGGCACAGGGTCCCCCCCTGATGTCCCCACTCCGTTTTCTATCGCCCGGCCCCCCCCCCCCGACGACAGCGTGCGCCTCAAGCAGCGCCTCTTCTTCTTCAAGAACCGCTTCAAGTGCATGGCCGGCGACTAGGCGACACCGGGAGTGGCCACCGGGCGTGGCCACCAGCCCCCGGCAGCGCTGCGGAGCCGCGGGGCTGCGCTGATGGCACCCCCGGGGGGCTGGCGCGGAGGTGGCACCGGGACGCTGGTGGCGGGACACGCCGTGGGCAGCGCTGGCACGGGCCGCCTCAAGGGTCACTGCTGCCAGCCACCCCTGCGGTGTCCCCAGAGCCACATCTGGGCCACCCCCGGGGCCGCCAACCCGCCGCCGTTCCTGGGGCACCCCTGGCGTGGCTGTCCCTGGTGGGTCACCCCACGGGCCACCACCGCCGGCTGTCCCCAGGGCCACGGCCACTGGCGTGACACAGTGCCACCCCCCCCAGGTGGCCACTCCAGGGCCACTGCCACTATGGTCCCCCTCCCTTGGGCCACCCCGTGTGCCACCACCACTGGACACCTGTGGGACACCCCCAGAACCCCCCCAGGGCCACCCCAGGGCCACTGCCATGGGCCACCACCCAGTGCCACCACCCAGGGCCAGCCGGGCCCGCGGGGTCCCCGGAGCCCCCCGCCCCCCCGCGGTGTTTTTAGCTCTTTTGTACTTTGGGGGGGGGTGGTGGCGGGGTCCCCCCGGGCACAGGGTCCCCCCCTGATGTCCCCACTCCGTTTTCTATCGCCCGGCCCCTCCCCCCGCTGCCGCCAGGATTTTTGTGCCAAGTCTCGGCCCCTCCCCCCCCCACAGGTCCTACGGGGTGGTGGGGCGTGGTCAGAGGGCGTTGTCAGTGGGCGTGGCTGTTCTTGGGCGTGGCCTGGGGGGGATTTTCAACAGGAATGCCCCTGGACCCCCCTCCCCCACCCAGCACCCTCCAGGGTCCATCCTGCCCTGGCAGGACACGGCAGGGACAGGGACAGAGACAGGGACAGAGACAGAGACAGAGACAGAGACAGGGACAGGGACAGGGACAGGGACAGAGACAGAGACAGGGACATGCCAGGGACCGGGACAGACTGGAACAGGGAGGGGCTTTGGGATGGGCGGGACTGTGGGGTGGGAGGGGCTATGTGTGGGAGGGGCTATAGGTCTTATGGGGTGGTGGGGCGTGGTCGGGGGTGTGATCAGAGGGAGTGGTTAATGGGCGTGGTTAATGGGTGTGGCTGCTCTTGGGCGTGGCCTTTGGGGGGGATTTTCAACAGGAATGCCCCTGGACCCCCCTCCCCCACCCAGCACCCTCCAGGGTCCATCCTGCCCTGGCAGGACACGGCAGGGACAGGGACAGAGACAGGGACAGAGACAGAGACAGGGACATGCCAGGGACCGGGACAGACCAGGGACAGGGCCATGCCAGGGACAGGGACAGACCAGGGACAGGGACAGGGACAGAGACAGAGACAGGGACATGCCAGGGACTGGGACAGACCAGGGACAGGGACATGTCAGGGACAGGGACAGGGACAGACCAGGGATGTGGGGATTGGTGGCACACAGGACAGGACATGGGAAGGGACACGCCATGGTCACAGACATGCCAGGGCCAGAGCAGGACAGTGGGACACAGAGGGGACAAGGAGAGACCACTGACAGGGCATGGCATGGTGCACAGGGACACAGCAGGGAAAGGACAGGGATGTGACAGGGACAGACACTCCAGGAATGTGGAGACAGACACGGGGTGGGCAGGGACAGAGCAGGGACAGGGACAGGGACAAGGACACTCCAGGGACAGGGACAGAGCAGGGACAGGGACAAGGACAAGGAGACTCCAGGGACAGGGACAGAGCAGGGACAGGGACAAGGACAAGGACATGCCAGGGACACATCAGGGACAGGGACACTCCAGGAACAAGGACGGGACAGGGACAGGGACATGCCAGGGACATTCCAGGGACAAGGACAAGCACGTGCCAGGAACACATCAGGGACAGGGACAGGGACAGGGACAGGGGCACATCAAGGACAGGGACATGCCAGGGACATTCCAGGGACAAGGACAAGCACGTGCCAGGAACACATCAAGGACAGGGACAGGGACAGGGACAGGGGCACATCAAGGACAGGGACACTCCAGGAACAAGGACAGGGCAGGGACAGGGACAAGGACAAGGAGACTCCAGGGACAGGGACAGAGCAGGGACAGGGACAAGGACAAGGACATGCCAGGGACACATCAGGGACAGGGACACTCCAGGAACAAGGACAGGGCAGGGACAGGGACAAGGACAAGGAGACTCCAGGGACAGGGACAGAGCAGGGACAGGGACAAGGACAAGGACATGCCAGGGACACATCAGGGACAGGGACACTCCAGGACGCAGGCATGGGCACACCGGGGACAGGGACATGGCAGGAACAGGGACAGGGACAGGCAGGGACTGGGACCCACAGTGGGCACGTGAAGGACAAGGACACACAATGGACATGAGGCTGGACACACGGGGACAAGGACACCAGGGACAAGGACACAGCCCCTGAGGGACCAAGGCCACGGCAGGGCTGGTGTTGGGGTCCCTTCTTGGGAGGACAATAGCCACGCTGGGGGACAAACGGGAGCAGGGTCCCACCCCAGGTCCCCAGAGCCCCTGTCCCACCCCTGGTGACACCTGCCAGTGCAGTGACAAAGTGCCCTGGGTGCCCACCCAGGGGGACCCCACACAGCAACCCCCCCGGGTCCTGTGACACCCTCGAGTGACACCTGGGCCACCCTGCAGCCGCTCCTGAGTGACCCCATGGGGCTGCCAAGGTGATGTCACTGTCCCCCCTCCCAAACCTGTCCCTAGGGGCTCCTGGGACATCACCCCGTGTTCCCCTCGCTGTGTCCCATCCAGGCCATTGTAATGTCCCCATTCTATGTCCTATCCTGCCTTTGTCCCACCCCGGTGTCCCAACCCCAGTGACCCATCCTGGTGTCCCATCCCATTGTCCCAGTGACCATCCTGGTGCTGACCACCCCAGTGTCTCTGTTCTGGTGTCCCATCCCAGTGTCCCAACCCCAGTGACCATCCTGGTGTTCAGCGTCCCTGATGTCCCATCCCAATGTCCCAGCCTCAGTGTCCCATCCCAATGTCCCAATCCCAGTGTCCCATCCCAATGTCCCAGCCCCAGTGCCCCATCCCAGTGTCCCAACCCCAGTGACCCATCCTGGGGTGCCATTGCAATGTCCCAACCCCAGTGTCCCAGCCCCAGTGACCCATTGCAATGTCCCCAGCTGGTGACCCAGCCTGGCACCCCATGGGCATGTTGCACCCCAGTGTCTCGGTTCACTGTCCAAACCTGATGTCCCAAATCTGTCCCATCCCAATGTCCCAGTGAACCATCCTGGTGTCCCATCCCAATGTCTCAACCCCCGTGACCACCCTGGTGTTCAGCATCCCTGGTGTCCCATCCCAATGTCCCCATCCCAGTGTCCCAGCCCCAGTGACCACCCTGGTGTTCAGCACCCCTGGTGTCCCATCCCAATGTCCCCATCCCAGTGTCCCATCCCAATGTCCCAACCCCCGTGACCACCCTGGTGTTCCACATCCCTGGTGTCCCATCCCAATGTCCCAACCCCAGTGACCACCCTGGTGTTCAGCACCCCTGGTGTCCCATCCCAATGTCCCCATCCCAGTGTCCCATCTGGATGTCCCCCTGAGCTGGGCTGAGCCCCAGCATGGGCAGAGGGAAGGGGGCTCTGCCCCTGTGCCCAAGTGAGACACCAGGGGTGACCCCATGGAGAAGGACTCGAGGGCATCGGACACATCCTGGCCACAATGTCCCAACCCCAGTGTCCCAGTCCCAGTGACCACCCTGGTGCTCACCATCCCTGTGTCCCATCCCGCTGTCCCAGTGACCATCCTGGTGCTGACCACCCCAGTGTCTCTATCCCAATGTCCCATCCTGGTGTCCCAACCCCAGTGACCCACTGCAATGTCCCCCGCTGGTGACCCAGCCTGGCACCCCAAGGGAATGCTGCACCCCACTGCAGGGAGAGCTCAGAGCCTGTGCAGGGCCTGGAGGGGCTCCAGGAGAGCTGCAGAGGGACTGGGGACAAGGGACAGGGGGACAGGACACAGGGAATGGCTGCCACTGCAGGGGGCAGGGATGGATGGGAGATTGGGCAGGAATTCCTCCCTGGGAGGGTGGGCAGGCCCTGGGATGGATTTCCCAGAGGATGCCCCTGGCTCCCTGGGAGTGCCCAGGCCAGGCTGGACAGGGCTGGGAGCAGCCTGGGGCAGTGGGAGGTGTCCCTGCCATCGCAGGGTGGCACTGGACGATCTCTGAGCTCCTTTCCACCCCAAACCGTTCCGCGAGTCCACGATCCCCCTCAGCCCTCCATGCTCCGCACTTCCGGACTCCATTTCCCATCACACCCCGCGACAGCACGGCCCCGCGTCCCCAGGGGACTCGCTTTCCCATGGTGCCTGGCGGCGGCGCGGTGGCAGCGCGGGGATCACGTGACGCGGGGCGGTATAAAGGCGGAGGCGCAGCGGCCGCGGCCCCATTGTTGTCGGCGCGCGCGGCGGGGCGGGAGCGGCCCCGGACCCCCCCGGGAGCGGCCCC